CCAACCCTCCAGCAGCTCCACACTCCCCCCCAGCTTGGTGTCACCTGCAGAGTGACCGAGGGTTCCTCACTCCCCTCACCCAGCTCACTGCTGAGGGTGTCACACAGAGCAGGCCCCAGTCCCGAGGGCACAGCAGCCAAGCCCAAAGCCCACGTGCTGTAGGGGTCACCTACCACGACCACCCCATAGTGGATGTGTGCCAGGGTGAGGAAGGCAGTCAGCAGGCAGAGCAGGAGAGTCTCACTGTGAGGAGCCAGCCCCGAGGCGACCACCAGGAGCACCAGGGCTATGGGCAGCAACATCCAGTTGAGGGGCTGGCAGCGAGTGCTGCTCATCTGACAGACAATCAGCTGGCACTGTGGGAAGAGAAAGGGTCAGAGCTGCCACCCAGCATGGGCTCTGAGAGCCCAGAGCTGTCCCCAGGCTGCAGGGGACAGAGCACCATGGAATGGTTTGGGTGGGAAGGGACCTCCCAAGGTCACCCTGTCCCACCCCTGCAGGGACAGGGACATCTGCAGCTAGAGCAGGGTGCTCAGAGCTCATCCAACCTCCCCTGGGATGGTGCCAGGGATGGGGCAGCGACCACCTCTCTGGGCAGCCTGGGCCAGTGTTTCACCACCCTCAGGGTCAACAATTTCTTCAATCATAGCAAAATAAAACCCAAGACCCAACGAGGAGCTTCTCTGCTCACATCTGAGCTGGTCCCTCCCTCCCTCCTAAGCATCCCTGAGGCTTCACACCCCCCAGGGGACAAGCTGGAGCCCAGAGCAAAAGCTGCTTACGGAAATGTTGGCGAAGGCTGTTCCCACCATGAAATAGAAGAGCCTGGGATGGACCTCCAGGATGTCTGTTGGGGACACGAAGATCCACGTGGTGCAGAGCAGGAACAGCAACACTGGGGACAGCAGTGGCAGCAGGATTTCATATGCAGAGTGGTGCTTCAGGGTGTTGTTTTTAGAGGCCCTGAAAGGTAAAGAGAAGACATGAGAAGAACTGGAACCACAGCTGAGAAAGAGCTGGTCCCTTCTTCAGGAGAGGGCTGCAAAACCTCCTGGGCCATTCAAAGCATGGTTGGGGTAGGGAAGGACGTGTTTCAGGCATCCAGTCCAACCCCCTGCAGGGACAGGGACATCTGCAGCTAGAGCAGGGTGCTCAGAGCTCATCCAACCTCCCCTGGGATGGTGCCAGGGATGGGGCAGCGACCACCTCTCTGGGCAGCCTGGGCCAGGGGCTCAACACCCTCAGCACCAACAATTTCCTCCTTCTCTCCAGTCTCAATCTCCCTCTTGGAGTTTCCAACCATCCCCCCTTGTCCTGTCCCAACAGTTCCTGTTCCAAAGTCCCCCCCAGGTTTCTGGCAGGCCCCTGGCAGTCCTGGCAGCCCCCAGCAGGTCTCCCCAGCTGGAGCCTTCTCCTCTCAGCTGCCCCAGCCCAACTCTCTCCTGCTGGGCTCCCAGCAGAGGGGTGCCCCCCTCGGGGCATTGCTGGGGCTCCTCTGGCCCCGCTCCAGCAGGTCCCTGGCTCTGCCGTGCTGAGGACTCCAGAGCTGCCCCAGCACTGCAGGGGGGTCTCCCAGAGCTGGCAGAGGGGCAGGATCCCCTCCCTGCCCTGCTGCCCACACTGCTTTGGTTTCCACTCCCCAAAACTGCTGATAGGAGTCACAAGCATGGTCAGATGAGGCACAGTCACACCTTCATCACAAACCTGAGAACCTCCTGTTTTACAGAAGCACCCCCCTGTCTGGCTCTCAGGGTCATGCCTCCAAAATCTGGGTCCCATCCCGCAAGCCCCTGTTGAGCCAGCTGCCAGCCCACTGTGCAAACTGGCACCTCCTGTTGAGTCAGAGCTGCTCTGCCACCCTGAAGGCAGCCACCTGAAAGAGCCACGAGGGAAACCAAGCTCTAAGAGGCTTTGTGGTGAGGGAGACTTGAGGAGGGAGGAACTTACTTGTAGAAGTTGTAGAGGCTCATGGGCAGCGTCACGGTGAGAGCACAAGCTGGAAGAGAAAGAGCCACGTTACTGCCCCGTGGCAGCAGGAGACCTTCACCTGCAGGGCACCAAGGGGCAGCTGCTGGTGCCCTGGTTTAAGCTGCTCACAAGCAGAGCAGCTCTGAGGGGCACCACCAACAGCTCAGCACCTTCAAAGGGACTGCTGGCCCGAGAGCTGGAATGACAAGTTAAGCTCTGCTGTAAATGAAAGACGTTTCAAGATTTAAAAGTTACACTAACGAGCCCAGGAGGAGGCTTTAAGCCAGGTTTAATTAGAAGACTGCCTTTTGTGAGGCATGAGGAGAGCTCCAGCTCCACACGCCACGGGGCTGCACGTTTTCAGTCGTCACGGGAAGACCCATCTGCTCTTTCTCCCCCTGTGAGGCAGCATTTTGAGTTCCTACCTAGCAAAAAATGTTATTTTATTTGACGAATGATACAAAGAGTCTCAATAACTCAGACAAATCAATGGGGAACATCACCCCCTAGAGCTGAGCCCATCAGGGTCCAGCACGGCTCCTTCCCCGTGCGTTTAGGAGTGGGTGTTTTAACAGAGCTGTAAATATCCCTGTTTTTAATAACCCAGCTCCTATCCAAGGGCACAAATCCAGCAGGATAGAGCATCATGCTCTATCTCCCAGAGGAAAAGTCCATTTGTTATTCCTTGTGCTGTCAGGAAAAGGAAAGTTCAGGACATCCCCCTGCTTAAGAGAAGCGCAAGCGTCCGGTTTAGCCCAGCAACTCAAGACATGGAATGAAGTCGTTATAATTAAGGCATAAAGAAAGGGGCACAAAGAAGAATTCAAGTGAGCAAGAGCTTCTGAACGAGACAAATTTCCTCCAGCAAAGGCAGCTCTCCCCAGCTAAGCTTCACCCAAATTCACCCTTCCACAGCCCATCAGCCTGTGCCTCCCAGCACAAACGCTCACGTCCCACACCACGGTGGCTCACCCAAAAATAAAGGCTGCAGAGACCAGTCCAGCCCAACACAACTGGTTTGTCAGCCAGGCCTGCCAGGGGTTATCCTGCATCCCTGCTCTGGCAGGGCTTGGTCCTTGGGTCTTGCTGCAGAGGAGTGTTTGAGGCTATCCAGGCAGTTTTAAAGCTGCCTGGCAGAAAAGGCCCTGGGGGTGCTGGTGGAGAGGCAGCTGAACCCCAGCCAGTGTGTGCCCAGGTAGCCAAGAAGGCCACCAGCATCCTGGCCTGGAGCAAAAATAGTATCCAGCAGGACTAGGGAAGTGGTTCCCCCCTGGACTTGGCACTGGGTGGGCCAGCAGCAGCTCAAGAGTGCCCCACAAACACCCCAAGTGCCAGGGGGTCCCCACCAGCTCCCAGCACCCACCTGCACACCAGGGTGAGTTTTAGCCCCTAAAATCCTCATGGCCCTCGCTGAAAACAAACTGTGCCTCCCCTGGGCAACATGAACCCCACAGCCCCAGCCCCTGGGGCAGCACAGCTCGTTGGAGGAGGTGGATTTTCACCCCTCAGGGGCAGGAGAGAGTCTCTTGTTTAGCACCCAGGGGCTGGTGCTGGGCTCCCAGGTCCCCCCCAGCCACAACCCTCAGCTGCTCTAGGCCAGGAACCACCTCGTGCCTACCTGCAGAAGGGCTCAGCCTGGGCAGGCAGCAGCAGGGCTGAACCCCCAGCAGCAGCACTGCTTAAAACCCTCAGGACTGGCACAAAATGCACCCGGGGTATGAGCCTGGTGCTCGGCTGCTTCAGGTTCTAGGTCAGCCCAGAGCCAGGCACGCTGGAGTTCACCTCTCCAGAGGAACTCTGCAGCAATATTTGGAACTCCTGAGCAAGGGGCAGGCTGCAAGAACACCCCCACCTCCCCCCCCAATTAATTAGGTCCTTTAATAACAGCCTCCAGGAGCTTTCATGAGAGCAAACACAACATATCATTAAGACATTGGGTTTCATTAAAAAGGTGGAGTTTAAAAGACAGGCTTCAACATGGAGTTTCTTACCAATAATCATTGCAGTGAATAGGTCTCTATATAAGAAATTAAACAGGAAAGGTGCATACCAGGCCTCAACTCCCACAATGGCTGTCACTATGTAGACAATTGAAATGGTCTGAAAGAGAGCAGAGGACAAGTGGGTGTGAGGAACCAGCCAGGCAGCACTGGGAAGGCAGCTGGAGAAGGACTCTCTGAGCCACGTCACCCTCAGCTCTCCCCACCAGCAGGAAGGAGAGGAAAATTCAACTATGAGATTCCAGAAATGTCCTGGGTTATGAGAACAGGTCTAGTGGAGGGGCTGAGCTCTGGGAGGGATACGACCAGGAGCTGTGAGGAGTAAAGGTGTTCTTGTACAGCTGGAGCTCCTGAGATGCTGGAAGCACAAGAGAGGTTTTATACTACAGGTTGCAGTGGCCCTGGGGGGTTTGTTCACACTCTTTTTTATTGCTGAAGCAATTACAGAGAAAAAACAATTAAAGAAGAAAGATAAATCCTGTACTGGGCACTGGGAGGCTGCACCTCAAATCCTGGGGTCAGGTTTGGGCCCCTCCCTCCCAGAAGGACCTTGAGGGGCTGGAGCGTGGCCAGAGAAGGGCAACGGAGCTGCTGGGGAAGGGTCTAGAGCCCAAGTGTGGGGAGGAGCAGCTGAGGGAGCTGGGGGTGCTGAGCCTGGAGCAAAGGAGGCTCAGGGGAGACCTTCTGGCTCTGCACAGCTCCTGACAGGAGCCTGGAGCCAGGGGGGGGTCGGGCTCTGCTCCCAAGGGACAACAGGACAAGAGGAAAGGGCCTCAAGTTGCCCCAGGGGAGGTTGGGGTTGTCCCTGAGGAACAATTTCTTGCCCTGGAGGGTTGCCCAGGGCTGTGCCAGGCTGCCCAGGGCAGTGGTGGAGTCCCCACCCCTGGAGGGGTTCCCAAGCCGTGGAGATGTGGGGTGAGGGACACGGGGCAGTGGGGACCTGGCAGGGCTGGGGGAGGGTTGGACTCCAGGAGCTGAAAGTTCTCCTCCAACCTAAACGCTTCTGTGATCCTCTGACACGTGGCAGAGCTGGCCACATCCCTCACAGCCCTGCAGCACCCCGGAGCTGCCAGCAGCCCAGGGCAGCCTGTACTCACCACCTGGCTGATGTCATAGCCCCAGGGCAGGAAGAGGATCCCTGTGTTATACTTCTCCCAGTGGGAGAGGATGAAGGAAAACAAGACCACCCACAGGAGGAGGTAGAGCACGAAGACGCTGACGCCGGTGGAGCCCCGGCCGAAGGTGGAGTAGACTGTCACCACAAAGTACACACAGGCCCAGCTGTCCAGCCCGTGGTCAAAGAGCTCTCCCAGGGGCGTGCTGGAGTTGGTCCTGCGAGCCTGCTTCCCGTCCACACCATCTGGGAAGAGAAGAGGAGGAGGAGAAACGGGGAGTGTTGCTGGAGCCCCCCCACGCAGAGCAGGAGCAGGTTCTGGCAGCTCCACCCTCCGACAAGGATCCTGCTTCCCACCCCTGCTCCTGACTGGAGAACACAACAGGCTGACCAGAGCGTGGTTATGGAAAGCAGAGCCAAGAGAGAATGTCACAATTGACCCCAAAGGCAGCTCCAGCCTCCTCCTTTCACACCAGGGAGAATTTCCTCCCACCCCACAAACTGCCCGAGCAGCCGTGGGGTTAGAGTGTGGCAGAAACCCTGAGCCAAGAACATCTCAGCAGGCTCAGAGGTAAGACAACAAGCAGCCAGGAGGTGGAGAGGAACAGACACAACCCTCCCAAATCTCCTAGATCAAAACTTACCTAAGGTATAGGCGAGGAAGTTGAGGATACCCACAACGACCCACACTCCGTTGGGAACGTGCTGGTGATCAGGAGCTGCCGAGATGAGAAAGACCCAAATCAGGAGAGCTCAGGGAGAACTTTCAGGGGGTTTATTTGGGCACGAGAAGCAGAGCCACAAGGACCAGGAGGTCACCAAGACAAAGCACCCACACAACTCAAGAAGTGAAACTCGGAGGATGGCTTCACAGGATGGGATGTGAGAGATGGTCCACACGTGTCAAACCAGGTCACCAAGGACCTGCCTTCCAGAACAC